CTCATACCATTCATGCCCTAACTTCCCCTTGAGGCAAGTGCTGTAAAAGCCTGATGCCTCGAGGAGGCTACTGAAATGGGCAGTGAAGCTTAGCGAATTTGACATTGTATTTAAGACTAGGACATCTATCAAGGGCCAATCCTTAGCTGATTTTGTGGCAGAATTTGCCAACGTCCCATAAGTGGAAGAAGTGATAGAACCTGTTGAGCCCTCCATATGGCACCTATTCATGGATGGGTCAACTAGAGACATGGCTTCGGGAGTCGGGGTGGTCTTCGTCAGCCTAGAAAAGCACAAGCGAAATTCGACTGTGAGGTTCGGGTTTAAGGCAACCAACAATGTGACGGAGTATAAGGCACTCCTTGCAGGTCTCAGATTTGCAAAAGAGATGCAAGTGAGGAAGTTGCTCATCAACAGCGACTTCCAGCTAGTGGTAAGCCAAGTCAATGGCAATTTCTCCACTAGGGACAAGGGTATGGCCTCGTACTTGAAGGTTGTGATGGACCTGCTCCCGTCCTTTGAAAATGTTGAACTAATCCAAATCCCTCGTGTTGAAAATGCATATGCTGATGCACTGTTAAAAATTACTAGCAGCAAGGATTTTGCACTGCTGACAATAGCACCAATCGAACACCTCTTGAGGCTCTCCCCAGACGTGATGTAGGTAGAGAGAACCCCCACATGGATGCAGCCAATTGTTACTTATCTAAAAGACCAGGTCCTTCTTACTAACAAAGAAGAGGCCTACAAACTGAGGCGGAGATCGGCTCATTTTGTCTTCATTGATGAGGTGCTCTATAAAAGAAGTTTCTCTTTCCCGCTTCTTCGGTGTATAGGAGGTGAAGAAGCCACATACATACTAAGAGAAGTCCATGAAGGTGTTTGTGGCAGCCACTCTGGAGGAGGTCTGGCTTTGGCACAGAAGGTATTGACACAAGGGTACTACTGGCCCACCTTGAACTTGGGGGAACTGTTATCCAACAAAAACAGAGGACTTATTTGAACATTAAAGTTCGTGCATTACATAAATGACTATATTTGAACTTGGAGAACTATTGTTACGTACTGATACACTTGGCTGACTCACTAGGACCAGTGGTCCACCTCAGCCAAACTACGTGGCATAGTGGCCAAGGCCCTAAGGCCAATGAAAAGTATACAACATCAAAGTACTTGAAGATCGAAGTGCATTTGCCGAGGTGGTCTCGACCAAGGCACTCCATGGCGAATTTGAAGCACCTTTGCCATCACCTCTCCTAAGAGATTAGGTCTTACACAAGAATCCTTTTTTGAGTTATTGATGTGACGTCCATCATAGAGTGCTAATGTCTTGTTTGTCGAACATAACGGTGGTTCTGCAAATCAATAAATGCATAGCAGGTTAGGCAGTCAAATGTGATGCCTCAAATTGAATATGTAAACTAACAGGATGAGACCATGTGTGCCTTCAACCGAGGGTCACGATTCAACTTGTATTACTATAAATAATTCCTCATGCACCCATTGTAAAGTTAATGCAAGATCCAATACGAGAACAACTACTACATAATTTACTCTCTCGAAGTACAACCGTGTTTACATACAAGTTCAACAAATCGGGATTGGTAATTATTGTACAATCGTTCTACAAAAGTATCATGGGATTCCAAACGTTGTCATCTCGTGCCTTTAAGCCACTCTCACGCCCCCTTACTAGACCCTTTGTGTGTCTTAGTGTGTTGGACTTTAGCCTATGTGTTTAATGCCAATGTACACCACGGAGTTTCATAATAGAACCCGACTTGAACACCTCAAAATTTTGTACATGATGGTTGAATGTGGTATCAAACATGACAAAAGACTCATTTTCAAGTTCTTTGCCGCTCCTTTATAAAAATATTGCACTTATAAGACATGAAATAAATTCAGCGGTCATATGAAGGATCTTGTGCGAAATTAACACTTTATACAATGAGAGTAATTTACTACCTAAATATAAGAAAAAGAAGACAACAACTCCTACCATGTATGACTATTCCTCGACACGAAATATGGTTCATTAAAGATATAACTCTTTATACAACGTAAGTCTTAGTGTTCATCACAAACACATGGTATTTGAAAAGAAGAGTTTAGATAGAGATACGATTCACGCAATTTGAAAATCCAATTATATAGCTATAAAAAAATTTCGAACTCGATTGTTAGAATGTTTTAAAGAAAAAATACATTACTATCAACCTTTGAAAATACATTTTCAAAAATGGATAAACTTATGAATTTCTTTCGAAAATCGGCTGGTATTAATTAAATAAGTTAATATTGCAATAATATATAATTTATGAACACAAATACATACTAGTCACAATCACAAAATGTCGTAGTATTAAAGACAAAAAATGTGGTTCACAATTGCATATTTAGTCACAAATTAAAAAAAAATAATTTAAATCACAACTTATTCATCGATCACAGATTATTAAATTAATTGGTGACAATTTATTTATCGATCATGTATTATCAAATAATCAGACCACAATAACCAAATGAATTGGTTACAAATTATTAGGGATGACAATCGGACTTGTCAGCTGGGATCGCCCGTGGCTCGGCTCGAAAAAAGCTCGAATTCGCCCGGCTCGAGCTTGGGCCGAGCTCCATTTTTTTGTGCCGGCAAAGTTCGAGTTGGCCCGTGTGGCTCGAGAAAATCGAGCATATATTTAAAAATAATAATAATAAATTAAAGGTAGCAACCTGCTGCCTTAAATGGCAATGTAGTTTCTGCCAAACAAGGCAACAACCTACTGCCTTTTTAATTAAAAAAAAAAAATTCGAGCCAGCCCGAGCTGAAAGCTCGAGTCGAGCCTAATTTTGTTTGCCGAGCTTTTGCTCTACCCAGCTCGAGCTCGAAAAAAAGCTTGAACATTTTACTCGAGCTGAGCCAGAGCCTAGAATTTCGACTTGCGAGCCAACTCGACTCGGCTCGTTGACATACCTACAAATTACCCTTCATCTCCCTTAATCGTAACATCATTACCACCACCACTACTTGTACCAACAACCATTACCACCACCCAAATCGCACTACAAAGACACAGATCACACAACAACCATCATCATTACCACACCACCAACCAGCATCATACTAACAACCATCATACAACGTTGCAACTAGCACCATGCGGCGCACTATAGATCGACGCAACAACAAGCACTAATATTACAACAACGTTGCAGTTGCTACATTGCATACAAGCAGCGGTGCTAGCCGTTGTGCATGCATGTGGCAGGCAAGCGCCGCCAAGAGTCGCATGCCCACATGTGGAATGAAGCAACAACTAGGGAAGTAAACTTTTTGTTTGTGGTGAAAAATGAGGGTTAGGGAGGGTTGTGGTGTGAAATTGGGTGGGGTCGGTGAATGAGATGAGGTACATTTTTGAAAGAATAACATAATCATTGGACAATGGAAAAATAAAATGTAGGATATGAGGTAATTTTCTCGTGTGTGTGTGTATATTAAGATGATTTAAATTTTTTAATATTTTGTATAATTATATCAAGCAAACTAAAATTCAATGGGATCCAGTAATCCAAAGTTAAATGTTTCAATAGCAATCAAACTTTGTACTTTGTCATGACTTACTCACCCAACTTCAAGAATTGTCTCAGTAACCACTAAACTTATATCCGTTGCTTTCCGTCACTCATTAGATGAATTCTGTCTTTAAATCTATCTAGGTGACAGACGGTAAATCTACATGGACCATTAAATCGCTCCAAATTATAAGTTAATTGCCATGTCACATCCACGTCGGCAAATTACTCTTCCAAACACGCCATTCTCAATACAATCTGGAATTTAAACGCGACTTCTTCCTCATATCTCTAAAGAAAAACAAATTTAAGTATAGCAGAAGTGGACGTCCATGGAGAAGACAAGGAGTCTGAACTCGAAAAAACTGAGAAAAATACATAAATAGATTAAATCAATATTCCAATTATCACAATGGAGTATACTATCAGTCCATCACGAAATATGGCTTTGAACTCGCCACCTCCTTTAACTAATTACTCCAAGCCATACTTATCAATTCCCAAAAAGCTCCCAAAAATGGACAAAGTAAAAGATTGAATTCTCAATCACTCAAACCCATAAAACTTCAAAAAAATCCGTTTTTTCTATTTACCATGGATGAAAAAACAAAATGGGATTTGAAGAAAATTCTGTTAACTGGTTTCAAAATTTCTCCAAATACATTGTGAATTTGGTTTTCAAATTTTATATATTTTTGGAAATTTGTCCGTACATGGTTTCGTCTTCTTCATTGGTAAAACTTTCAAATTCACTCAACAAAATAGCAAAATTTGTACTATCTTCTTCCTTTGGTTCCGTCAAAAACTCTTCTTACTGTCCTGGGCAAGTTGAAATTTTGGGGTAAAACCAAGACTTCACTTCACCTTAGGGTTTGGGTCTGGATTTTGGGTGATTTCGATTTCACTTCACACGAATGGATTTCATCTTCATCTGAAGTTTCTTTCAACTATGAGGAAGAAGTTCGTGTTTACAATCTAAAGGTTGAATCCCAACCTTAATGGCTCCCACCGACCCTGCCCTGAGCCATCGTGGAGAAGGTAAATAGCAGGATGTGCCTCCCAGGGGCCAGGGTGAAGAGCATATGGATAGGCCAATGCTGTTAACCCAGATGGTAACTCCTGCTTGCAACAAAGTCAATTCCACCTTGCGGGGAATCGAACTCTGCACACTGCCGCACTGAACCCTATCCGTCCTCCCCTTTGCCACTGGGAGATATGCCCTAGGGGCAGTTCGTGTTTACAATCTAGATTGAATTGAGAAGGGTGTATTTGGAAGAGTCATTTACTGATGTGGATGTGACATGCAATTAACTTATTATTTGGAGTGATTTAACGGTTACCGTCTGTCACCTAGATAGAGTCAAAGACAGAATTCATCTGACGGAAATCAACGGATTTAAGTTTAGTGGCCATCAAGATAGTTCTTAAAGTTGAGCGAGTAAATTGTGACGAAATGTGAAGTTTGATGGCTAATGGAATATTTAACTTCAATAATTCATAATATTTACTTCACCAAACTCTTGAGCTTCCACCACAGAGATGATCCTCTACCTTCAAATTCCCATTCCGTCCAAAACCCCCAATCCCCAAAATAAACTAAAACCCCACCTTTCCGTTCCCACCGCCGCCACCACATCTTCCATTTCAACGGACTCCGGTCTTAAATTCCGGCAGAAACTTATCTACCTTCAGTCCCTCAATATAAATCCCGCAAAAGCCCTCAATGAAAACCCAAATCTTCGTTCTTCTCCGCTCTCCACCGTTTACTCCGTTACCCACTGCCTCTCCTCCATGGGCCTGGAAGCCTCTGCCCTCGGCCGCATCCTGGATATGTACCCATTGCTTCTCACCTCCGACCCATACTCCGACATTTACCCCATTTTCGATTTTTTATTGAATACCGTTGAAATCCCATTTCCTGAGATACGGAAATCTATAATTCGGTGTCCCAGACTGCTTGTTTCGGATCCGGAAACTCAATTAAAACCTACGTTTGAGTTCTTGAAGCAATTGGGTTTCACTGGCCCGAATAAATTAACCTCTCAAACCACATTGTTGTTGGTTTCGAGTGTTGAGTTTACACTGATACCAAAGATTGACTATTTAGTGGAAGTGGGGTTTGAGTATGATGAGGCTAGGAATATGGTGTTGAGGTCGCCGGGGCTGTTGACTTTCAGCATAGAGAATAACTATAAGCCAAAAGTGGACTACTTTTTGAATGAAATGAATGGGGATTTGGAGGAAATAAAGAAGTTTCCGCAATACTTTTCGTATAGTTTGGAGCGAAAAATAAAGCCACGGAACCGAATTTTAATGGAGCATGGTTTTTCGATGCAGTTAGCTGATATGTTGAAGGTCAGTGATGGGGAGTTCCGTGCTCGGTTGATTGAGATGCAGTTGAAGTTGGTGGAGGATAGGCAGTAGTGGTAGTAGTACGTTGTAAGTTTCTCTCATTTTGTACTTAAATTGCACATCTTTGATTTGGGATGATAGATGTGTCCAAATGTCATTCTTATCTGAAATATTAGATTTTTTGTATATGACAAGTGCCGACTGCATATTGATGATCTACCTTTTTGTCACAAACTGTGCGAGTACAATTACTTGAGGTGTGAATTCTGTATATGAAAATTGAGTTTGATTTATTTTATTTTAATTGTTCAGCTCTTATATACACTATTTAATCATCATAACCTGTGTATAGTTAATCATCATAACCTGTGTATACTCATTCAAAACACTGATGCAAGGAATAAAGGGTAACATCCATATAAATCTTTTCTTAAAACCATCATATATATAACATTAACTAGTTAATGAACATATTTAGCATCTAGTATGGATTTTGAATTCTTCTTTTATTGTTAACCTTTCGACTTAGAATGGAGAAAGAAATGATGATTAGGCTCTATGTAGTTGGGCTAACATCTGATACAATTAGATATAGAATGACCTTATCTCTCTCAGTTATAAAGTATGTGTTCGGTGATATGTACATCTGAGAAGCTTTATTTCCATGTTATTACAAAACAACTTCCTTCGAAGAACAAATACTCCTTGGCTCTCATCCTTAAGGGAGTAAGGCTCATCCTCTTGGAGATGATAGAAGATGGTGTTCATATGTTAGCCTTTATCATTTCCTGTTGTAGCTAGCAAAGCAACAACAGAGTTATAGTTGATGTAGTACATTGGGTAATTTAAGATTTAAGACCTCTCAGTCTTAGTTTATTGAGATGCTCTCACAACTCAGGAATGGCTCAGTATTACTGCAACTTGGTGGCATCATGCAGTCTTCGTACTGCTAGTCTGCAAAGGTATCAACTGTTGAAGTACCAGACATAGAATCAAAGCACTATCTTTACGATGAGATGGGAAGTATTTCCTTTTTTCTCCATTTGATGAACCCTGCTTTGTTAGTGGTGTTTTGTTTATTTGATTGAAATGCTCATCTTAACTAGATCAACAAATTGCAACTGTTAATTTGGCTTGCTAATTTGCCACACAAAGTAATACTCTTGATGAATGATGATTGTAATAGTTGCAATACGTTTAACATGATATTATAGTTAAGGCTGCAAAAGGTCGAGACAAGTTGATAGTTGTCCGTGCTCGGCATGCCTTGATGATGCAGAATGTGCCAAAAAAAAAAAAAAAAAAGGAGTACATATGATGTTTGATACATGGCAGGATTTGGGGCAAACACTTTGATGGTTAGGTTGTAATTATTATTATCATTATTTTGTTTAAGGTGCGTGAACATTCTTGTGGTTTTGAAGTTGACGGTAGTTTGATCTATCAGTATTTTTGGACGCGTATAAAACATCTTCAGTTTGTGAAGTCTTTCATTAGGTTATATTAGTTTGGAATTTGTCATTAGGATTGTGAATTAGTATTGGAGGGATCGGATCATAGAAGTTTCCAGTGAACTCTATAATATGTTCTCTTACAAATGATTAAAATTATATGTCTCTCTTTTAAAGTTTTCTTTGATCTCCCTTGATAAAAATTAGATTTTTAATAGATTTTGATAAAAATTGATAAAATGTATGCTTGAAAAGTTGTGAATGAAATGTTTTATTTCAATTAATTGTTAACTTTGACCTAAAATTAATCAACTTTTCTAGTCGAACCGAACAGTAGGGATGGCAACCCCAAGGGAGCTGGGGAAGGTCAGGGGGCGAGTAGGGGTAATTACCTCGTTTATTTTATTTTATTTTTGTTTTTGATAATTCATTTTTAATTAATTTATTTATTTTCAAAAGTTAAATTATTCGAATGTATTTGGTAAACTAAAATTTTTATTGTTTATCATATTCCTTAAATAATCTTAGTTACCATCTTCTATTATAATTAATGAAATTTCATGGAATTTTTCTATTATGTTCTTTTTGAGCCCTATTATTTCCTGATAATGCATTTTAGAATAGTAAATTGATGGAGAATGTATAGTTAAAAAATAAGGAATTTTTTTGAATTTATGTGTTATATTATATTATTAAAGAATGTGTGGTTGAAAAGAAAAGAGAGAAAAATATATTTTAAAAATAATGAAAATCAAACAAGAGTTTAAAGTATTGAATTCTTAAATTTTAAAAAAAATAAAATTAAATGTGGTGGGGTGTTACTCGTACCCGCCTCGGGGCGGAATTCCCCGCCCAATTAAGCGGTTAATTTTTGCCCCGTTCAAGACAGGTCTTCACGGTTATCGAGTTTGTCGAGTATATTTGTCATCCCTAGCAAACAAGGGCAAAGTTATAAAATCATAGATTTTTAATGTGTTTCGCGACACTTTTGTAATTTTGTGATAAAAATCTATCGTAGAAAAGTTAATATATTGGTTGATTTTTTTATTTTTATTTTTAATTGATTAATTAATTAATTAATAATAATAATATTATTATTATTATTTATATGTGATGCACGTTATGAATTGGAAAAGGTTGGTATAGTTGGTTAATAATTTTTTAAAAATTCTTAGAAATGTCAACTATTCAGCAATCTTTCAATAATAAGAAAAAACAATAGTATTATTCATCAAACTTTCAATAATAAAGTAATTTAAAAGACAAAAATCTAAAAATAAAGTGCAATGCATATTTGATAATGACTAATAATATTGAGTACCGCATGACGAGAATAATTTTTTGGACGACGTCATCTTCAATATCTGATAATTTCTTAATTTGCGATAAACTCCTAATTAAAGGTGAATGTATACCTACATATTTTTACTCGGATACCTGCCTCAACCACGTACGTATTTTAAGTGCACAAATATACAAAGAGTCTATAGAGTATGGAGGGGGGAAAAGGTCTCATGTAAGGGTTCAAAACCCTCTAATTGTGCATCGATGAGTGGTGACTGTTGGGTTTTTTGATACCCAATAATTTGGGCAATAATTTAAAACAGTTGTCGGCTTATTTATCGACACCGTGGACTTGGCTCGGCTCGGAGACGAACTACACTTTTGGATTACTCAGGTTTGGATTGGATGATTATTTGGTTAGTTAGACCATTTAGTAATTAATATAGAGTTGGAAATTGGTCCATTAGTTTAGGTTATATGGCAGCCCATTTAGAGATCTCTTGACCCATATTTGATGACCTAAACTAACCTATATATATGTATTTATCTCTCAGTCGTTTTTGGTGCGTGTGTGTTGTAGTAATGGAGAGGAGAGTTGAGAGAAAAGAGGCAGCCGAGAGAAAGGGAAGCCATGTGAGGTTATGAGTGAGATTCAACCATTGTGATATCTTTTTTTCCTCTCCATACCTTTGTGGATTGCTAACACCACCACCCTTCTCCTTTGTGGGGTTTGAGAGAGTTTGAGTAGTCCAAAGTAAAGGCGAAAGTCTCGGGTCGAGTCGATGTAAACTGGTGTTCGTTTGATTATTTTCTGAACCCGAAATCAAGATTTATCGAGAGATTTTCGCTATAAGTATGGTATCAGAGCTTGTGTTATTGATAAATCTGTTATTTTTTGGGCTAAAAATGGGCTGGAAGTGGCCAGAAATCGATCTGGAAAACGGGCAGAAAACTGGACTAAATCTGGGCAGATTTTTGCAAAACTCGATAGATCTGTTTTTGCATTTTCTGGTGAAACCAAAAAAAGTTTGACGAAACGGACACCATCGTTAGACTGTATAGGCGGAGAAGAAGCCAGAAGGGTGACAGGTTGTCGGCGCGTGGAGACGCCGGCGCCAGTTCGTGAGGGCGAGTCAGGAGGAATCTGGCGATGGTGTCTTCAAATAGAATGTTGCTAGTGACAATACGGACCTTGCGACGTTGTCGGATTTCAATTTTGAGTAATGCAGTAAAAGTTGGACGATTTTGCCCTTGGACGTTTGGGTGTCGGGTGCTGTTTTCGTGTTGCTGTGGTTGCTGGTGACTTTAGGATGAATAGTGATAGTTCTAAAGCGGTGAATTTGCATCTCTCGATGTTTACGGACCTTCAAACGTGGTCTGCTCGGTATCGTATTTTTTACTTTTTATTATTGCAGTTAAAATTAATGTGTAGGTTAATTATTTATTTTTGTATTAGAAGTCATCGTGTGATGTAACGTTAGGTTTGTGGTAACCATTGCTTGTTGTTAGATCTAGGAATTACATGTTAATTAATTGTCTTAAATTCTATGTGAATTTCTCACCAATTTTTTTTATAACGATAGAATTGCATGTGACCTTAGGAAAATTTACTTGATTGTTCTGTGTGAATTATGTGTCAGCATTTTGCTTGTGGTCATTATTTGATATTTTTGGCATGTATAGGTCTAAGGCAAGTGCAAAAAATAAAATATATTTTAACTGTAGTAAAATTTGGGCATAGTTGAAAGAAATTGTTTTAGGATGATAATAAAAGAAAAGATGAGAATAGAGACAAGGCGAATATGACTTTAGGGTCGAGTAGTGATTCTAGTGAGGTTTATTGAAAGAATAAACCTGGTTCTTACATTGCATTTGTATGTAATTCTTTCTGCATGTATGTGGTCACTTAATTTTGTTGCAATATTGATGTTACACTTTCAACTTGTTTGATGTGTGTAATTGCATGAATTGAGGGTGATCTTATTACTTTGTGTAATATGTTTACATGCATAGTGGGTTGAGTTTTGTGGCGTACTCTATTTGCTCTGTGAGTGGTGTGAGAGTGTGGTAGTGAAAAGAAAGTTGAGCAGCCGTTTCTCTCCTTCATCTTTGTGAGCCTATATGGTTTGTGAGATTATGTGAGGCAACCATGTTAGGGTTACTTTTTTTTTTTATCTTTGTGAGCCTCGTTTGTGAGTGTTGTGAAGTAATCAATTCTTTCTTCGATTTTTCTTTGTGAGTGCCACCTTCGCCATTTTCTTTGTGGATTTTTGAAGCTTTGGTGATTGGAGAACCTTTGTGGTCACCGAAATGTGTTGTTTTGCCGCAGTGAGTTTGTGATACAATAGCAGTGAGTTAGATGTCTTTTGGTAAGGTGGAGTATAGATGCCTAGATGTGCATTGGTGATATGCAAGGCGGATGTGGAGTGTGACATTTGGATCATGAGTGGAGATGTGATCAAATGTGTAGAATCATTTATCTGTGAAAGAGACCCTGATCAGGTGGAGTGTGAGAGATGTACTTCTATCACTTCTGTAAGATGGAGTCCCATTATCCACGTAGGTTGGGAGAAGTGATGTGGTGATAGAAAATTATCTCGAGAGCTTAGGATCTATTGTGACTTACCGGTTAGACATAAGTTGAGTGATCTGTTTAGTGAGCATGATGGGCGATGATAGGAGATATGTGTTCTCGAGGTGTGAGCAACACGGAATGTGATAGGATAAGTGTGGTGAAATCTTTTTTTAGGGTTATTTATGCATTTGTTGCATACGTACATGACCGTGTGTTGATTAACTAGGTGTTAATCTGTGGTTCCGTGTAAACGTGATTTTGAAAAGATCTCTATGTGTATTATCCTATATATCTTCATCGTATGATTATTTGTTCACCGTGAATACTTGTTTCTACTTGGTGTTCTTGACCTTAGCCCTGGTGAGTACATGGAGCAAGTATGGTATGTGTTTCGGTTCGAAACACGAGGTAAGGTGTGTGATTCCAATTTTATTGGATTACCTTGATTGTGTAAGTATAAACTGTGTGTTTTCATTGCTTGCAAATTATTGGGCATCAAGGTGAAGATTTTTGGATTTTTTGATACCCAATAATCCGGGCGATGATTTAAAACAGTTGTCGAATTATTTATCGACACTATGGACTTGGCTAGGCTCGGATTTTGATGGCTCAGGTTTGGGTTGGATAATTATTTGGTTAGTTAGACCATTTAGTGATTAATATAGAGTTGAAAATTGGCCCATTAGTTTAGATTATA